CGTATGTTATGATTTTTCTAGTTCCTTGCCCCCAACATATGATTGCCTCAGGTTTGGGGCTGGATTTTGGGGATCATCCAAAGGTCTGGCTTGAAAGCTGCATGGTACCGGATGATGCCCCAGGTACAAATACGCCTGGAATAAAGACAGGAACCAGGCCCGCGAAGGGCCCGCAGAACTGAGACAGCTCGAGAACGAACAAGCCCTAAATCAGGCCCTACACTCAAAGCCATAAACATAATCCCTGCCCTCCCACTGTAGTCTCTATTAGGCCCAGTTTCAGGTTCCATGTGGTTTTTTTTTGGCCAAGTGTAAACCTTACTTGCAAACGAAATTCTCTGTACTGAGGATTGAAGTGGGCTTCTGTTTTCATCTGGCGCAGGGGTATCGGTCTCAGGGAATTTCAGAGTTTTGCGCTCTTTGTCCAGGAGCAGCGCCGCACACCTCCTCAATTTTCTCCGACCGGCCACTCTTGCAAGAGTCCAGCACAACAGAAGGCCAACAGGGCTACAGCAGAATGTTGGGATGCCGCTGAGAAGTCTTACGAGTTTGACCTTGGATTGACGTAGCTTCTATCTGCTGACAAGTTCAGGGCTTGGAATCCACGATGTTGCTTCCGGCTGCTATTGCAATGTTTCAAAATGACCCAAGATGCACAAATCTGGGCGATTGCTTGACCCCCTTGTGTAACCCTGAACGGCATACAGAACTCCCAGCCCGCCTGCGCTTGCACTCCTTGATCAGCATGAGTGAGAAGGTCAATCAGAGGTGTGATAGCACCCGCCTGAGGGATGTGGCCGCGCTTACGCTTCAGGGTTTAAACTTGGAGGCCTGGCTGGAGGCCTGGCTGCCTAGGGGTGGTGCTTTGTGTTTATACTGGGACTCGGTCGGTATAAAATATACTCTCTGGGATGCTTCAGAAGGAGCCGTTCCAGCTCACTGTAAAATACCTCACGATTGCATTGACACACTTCAGCTGAGGGGGTTGGGGTGGGGGCATGAAATAGTAGGGGGAAACGATTTGCACGGAGGCGCTCCCCAATCTTCATCTCTGGGCCCTGCCCAGCAGAAAGGAAGGGACCATGCACACAAACAAAAATATGTGTATCTGTATATACGTACACACAAGTATGTACATAATCATACCTGTATGCGTGTATATATACCTATATGCTCAGACACACATACACATAAGGAACATACAAGGATTATGGGAGATTCCCCCCAAGGTGTGCATAGGAACTATTACTTTCAGAATCCTTTTTTTTTAAACTCGATGAAGAACCTGTATAGCCCCAGTTTCCATTTAACCTTCCATATTCCTTTCCATCTGTTTCTTCATGACTGGGGTAAGAGTCTCTGAAGCGGGAGCTCTAAACCCGACATTTGCCTTCATACATCCCCACATATATATGAATATGTACACCCCATACGACCCTCTATCCGCGTATCATTCCTCATTATTGGGCCTATGCTTATAGGTACATCGTATATAAGTTCTGTAAGCCCTGTACGTATGAGCTTTAGTCTAAACTCCTAGTATCCCCCTTCATCACGCCTATTGCTCCCCTCTATATATACCCCGTATAAACCCCCATATTATCCCCCCCAAGGGATTTAGACTCTAGCTCGTATGAGTCTTGGCAGGCCTGCGCAATAGCGAGCTGGGCGTTGTTGTGGTTGGCCGCCAGGTTTCCTGGGTCCCCAGCACTGTTTATCCCATTATAGGGGTTATAAATAGGGGGCTATATAGGGATAATGGAAAAGAAAACGGAAGCTACAATTTAGGGTTCTGGGTTCAGGGTGTGCAGTTTTGGGGTTGGGGTAAGGAGGTGGAGTTTGGGGGTTTGAGGGTTCGGCGTCTAGGGTTCGGGGTCTTGTGGCTGGGGTTTGGGAATGCGATTCTGGAGTTTAGGGGTTTGGGGTTGAGGGTTTGGAGATTGAAGTCGTTTAGAAGATGTCTTAAGGTCTCAAGACGAGGGGTCCGTTTTGGGGAGTGTAGTGTAGGAAGCTGGGAAGGATGTGTATTGAAGTGATCGAGGTGTCGAACAGAGGCTGCTAACGAGGGACGTGAGAAGGAGCGCCGAAATATGAGAGGACTATTTCAGCTTCAACGGGTTTCCCACAGTTAGGGGTACCATTTCGGGGGCCCCCATAATAAAGACTATAGTATATTAGGTCAAAATTGGGGTCCCCTTATTATTTGGGGAAGTTACCTCAAGTTTGCGGGGCACTGTTTGTGAGGAGGACCTTGAAGATACAGCCGCGATGTGCAACAACAATGAGCCATTTTTGTCTGTACTCCTAAGACACCTCAGACATCAGCCATCAAGAGCTGTCAGCCTCGGAAGACTCAATACCTCAACGCTAAAGCACGAAAATGGGGTTGACATCTAGCCTGCCAGTATGAAATCGATCTTATCTACCCATCTTGGATGTAGCCCAAAACCCCAAACCATACATACCCTTAACCCTGAAGCCTTATATACTCCTAGGAGCCCCAACCAGAACTGGATAGTAGATCAGTGCGAGGGTCGGATTGCACTGGCTGCTGCCTTCGTGGGAACCTGGGAAATCTGTTGCTTGGATTTGCTTGCTATGACCTAGCCGATGGAATGTATACTTGAAACTTTTCGGCTTCAAGTTAGCGGTTTAGGGTTCTGGCTTCAGGTTATGGCGGAATGGATTATGAGGATCATTCAAGTCTTAATTAAGATTAGGTAATCCTAGTTGCTGAATTGCCTGGCCCCAAAAAAGTGTACACTTTTTATTCGAATGGGAATAGAAGAACCCCAAAAGTGTAAAGTGTACCTAGCCAGCTACTAAGTAATAGCCATCTGGGGACCCAAACCTCACTCCCTACTAGCCAGCACCAGATAGAAATTATTCACTTGGGACTTCCTCAAGTAGGACTGGCTTATAGGAGTACGTGCAGGGTAGGGGGCTCAGGGAAGATCAGGGTGCTCACCCAGCAGCTTGTCCGCAACCCTAAGGTTTGGGGTTAGAAGGGCGGATGCTTAGAACATTAGGTGGTCATGGATTTGAAAATGAAGGTGGAATAAATGTAAAATAAAGGTAAACCCAAGGTGAAATCCGGATTGCTGCAAAGCTCGCAGAAAACTGCCAGAAAGTTAGTGACATGGTGCACAGGCTCAGCAGCTGCGGCATGTACTAGATGCAGGTAGGTCTGTGCTGCTATGGGGTGGGATGAGCTAGAGGAAGAAAGTCTGGAGTTGTCGCGTAACAGATGGGACAGGATTGCAGATGCTGAAAGGTTCAGGACGGAAAACGATCCAGGAGATTCTGCTGACGAGGACTCAGGGACTCCTTTGTCTCAAGGAGGCGATGTTCCATGGTGGGTTGAGAAGCTCCTAGGGCACGCTCAGCAGTACAGCTACCAGGACATTGCTCAAGCGCCTCCTGTCAAGCTCCTTTCCAGCTGCAGTGGCATGATGGCCGAAGCTTTTGCTCTGCAGGCTTGTGTTTGAAACCAGTACTTTGTTTGACCGGTTGCATCCCAGTTACCCCATCATGCTGGACTTGCCAAAACTGACATGTTTTCGCAGATGACTCATCTAGCAAGTTAGCAAGGTAGAGGAGGAGAGAAGAGGGAGAAGAAGGGTGTGAGAAAGGAAGAGTTAATGACAGTGAGAGAAATACAGAAAAGAAGAGAGAGAGAGAGAGAAGCCAGTAGAAGAAGAGAGAGGGAGAGAGAGCGAGAGGGATTGACAGCGTGACTGACTGAGGAGAAGCAAACCATTGATAACAAGAGAAATGTAATACGGTTATGAATTCCCGGACAGGAATTGGGGTTTGTGGTCTCCATCCAGTCTTGCGCAGACACCAGCGAACAGTGCAGGGACATGATCAGTGAAAACTTCCTGGCGCGCCACATGTTTTCTGACATGGGTGACCAGTTCAGTGACAAGCCATGTCTGAGACACAGCTCCGAGTGTGGGGCGTTTGGTTGCAAGTGCATGGACGTTGATCTTGCAATTGTGGGAACAGTGTGTGCACCATACTCTACACAAAGAGCTAAACGTTTTGCTGTGGGTTCAGTCAAGCAGCATTGCAACCATGACCTGACAGCCGAAGTGTCTGTGGAGTGATTGAAGCAGCTGGCACCGCCGGCTGTGAATTCTCGGAATAAGCAAACAGACACTCATGATGCAACCTCTCCCGTGGAGAAGTTCCTAGGTTGCATAAATGATGCTAGCTGCTAGCCAGTAGCCAGGATTTTGGAGTGGAACGCATGCCCAGAACGCAGCTGATTTGAAGCTTTGTTGTCAGGAATCTGTTCGTTTACTTGAGAATGGGTCGCATCCTGGCTATCACGTCTTCGTCTCGCGTATGGACTTGAAGTACTGGGTCTCTGTGTCCCGACCCAGGCACGCCTTTGCATGTCTGAACTGATTGTAGCTGTGCGGCTTGAACTTGCAGCTGGATTGAATGAATCCACCACTTCCTTTTGCAAATGAAGTGGCTCTGTTGAATTTGAATGTCTTGCTGGACAGGCTCAAGACGCAAAGCATGTCTAGGTCGTTGAGGGAAAAAGATGGGCGGGCTGAGAATAGGTCAGGCAAAACTGGCAGCCACATTCTCAGAAGGGCAGTGCGCGAGGTCGAATTGCCACAGGCTGCTTTGGATGCTTTAGCTCCCCCAGTGAAGCCAGAGACATCAATCGCTGCAAATGCAGACTGCAGAGGGAGGCCTGTTGCGGGCCTTGCTGCAGTGCTGCACCCATTACTTGCAACGGGCACTAATTTGCAGAAGCAGCTCATGCGTGCAGCCTGCATGCATTTCTTTCCAGACACTAAATCAATGGCCAAGAAAAGCGGCGATGATTCTGTTGGCAAGGTGTGCGATCGCATATTGTTTACACCCTCAAGGCCGCAGTCGAGTTTGACTGCAGAAGCTGACACTCTGAATCAAGCCAGAAATTCGTTCAAAGCTGACTTGTTGTGTACAGCCTCAGCAGTTCTTCAAGCAGGCGCTGGGGCATGGCAAGTCCATCTCCATACCCTGTTCAAGCTTATACGCTCAGGATTGCTTGAGGGCCTTACGCTGATCAAGTGCCGCGTGTGTGATGAGACACCCCTGAAGCTGAGGGTGGAGTCCTCCTCCAGCAAGCAGGTACAGCTGGGTGCAAAGGCTGAGCAATGTGTAGCCAAAGTAATGCAAACGCGTTTCAAGATTGGAGTGGTCGTCAGGGAAGTGGTTTCTGGGCGCGTGTGCTGCTACAAGGGCATTGCGCCAAGCATTCTGCAGGGCCTGGAACGAACAAGGGGAGAGGACATTTGTTTGTCCCAGTCTCGAATCATTAGCTCTGTTCCTGCGCTGGATTCTGGGTATGACTTGTTCAAATTGAACTTGGATGTGACGACTGCGGATCGGTGTGGAGCAAGCGCAAAAACTTGGATGTGACGACTGCGGATCGGTATGGAGCAAGCGCAAAAGCCGAGGCTGGGCTTCAGGCTTTACGTCCATGGGACGTTCCATTGCAATTCGGTTGCCAGATACATAAAGTGGCAACCAGCGTCACATGGGGGTTCAAGGTTGCGGAACAACACATGAGCGGCTTGATCGCCAGCTCATTGTTTCTCCGCCAAGCAGGATCATTTGCAGCTTTTCGGGAGCACCTGCTGGCAGAAATGCAGAGCAATCTCATGGTTATACATGGGCCAGCGCCCATGGGCATGGCAAAGGAATTCCGGGAGCAGGTGTACACCACCTTTCTGAGCACCAACTTAGCCAGGGACGCAGATATTCCTAAAGCGCAAGTGCGGCGAGCAGAGCAGAAAGCAGTTTTGAGCAGGTTCTTGTGTGGCGACCTGGAGGATGAGACATGTGCGCAATTCTTCACTGGCGCACTTCATGCAACTGAGGATCAGATCACGCAGGCCCTGAAAAACTTTGTTATCCCAGCTCTTGTGCCGGGCAGCATGCCAACCTATGCTCGACACAGGTGGATGCGAGGCGAGCAGGCTGTTGACTTTGTCGGCCTTCTAGAAAGCCATCACCGCCTTTTCTCCAGGACTATTCTGCGAATGTTCAACATCGCTCGTAGCCTACCTCTTCAATCAGGAGGTGTTGTTCCAGTTGGCTGGGATGCTTTGGAGGCCGAGGCTTTCCCAGGGCAACAGGTGGATACAGCAGTTGATGCTGTCTTGGAGGAGGCTTCTGCGATCAATGACTTCCCTGCTTCCAAAGATGCTTCTGATTGGGCAGAATTTAACAAGTCCATGCAGAAGAAAGTTCAGGCGTGGGCCAAAGATACGGACTTGGCTGTTTTGGCTTTGATGCGACGCGTCATGACTGCATCCGCGAATCTGATGCGCATGTTCCTCAAGAGGTCCAGCGAGGATTGGGGCAAGGAGCAGGACAGCTTCTGTGTCTTTTAGGATCTTGTTGGCCAGCCACTTGCAGCCTGACTGAATCCTGAAGAGTAGGGCTCAAATTATTTAGGGGGTCCCGCGTCTTGCAGCCGCCAGATTATTGTTTGCTGGGTGTTCTCACTCTCATTTGCTTCGAGTAGGGTAGAGTCCAAAACCCGCAGCCCAAACCTGAAGCATGAGGCCCGGGAATCTATCTAGGCCAGGCGCATCTGTCTAGTTAGTCTAGTCCAAGCCTAAGCAATGCACACCCTCCCCTCCCCAAGTTTTTGCAAGCTTCAGGACCTTGCTGGGCATAGATATACTCCACCCTAAATGTACATGCTGTGCTTCCTTGGAAGAGCTTGGAATGGATTTGAATCAGCTTTGCAGGAGAGCTGTGGAAGGAAGCCAACTTCTCCACACTCGTCCTCCGGGAATTGGCCGAGCTTGCCCGGTCCCACCAAGATGGAGAAGAGCCATTGCAGATTCAAGGAGCTGCAGAGGATCTTGGATCAGGTCGGCAAACCCTAGGAATCCCTAGATGCAAAGTCACAGGCAGATGTGGATTCCGTGCTGGTGGCTGCTCTCCAAGTTCTGCCGGCGAAGGTTGGGGACTTTTGTTGCAGGCAGCTCTCTTGGAGGTGGACGTTTCCCTGATGAACCAGATCATGGAACTGAAGAAGGACATTGTCAGCTTCAAGCGCATCGCGGTGGTGCTCGGTGGGCATCCCCACAGTGAGTGGATTTCTTTGCAGCTCGCGATGCACGAGGAGTTTGCTTGCCACCAGTCTGCCCTGAAAGGCATCCGTGATGTTGGTGGCTGTGCTGATGCTCAAGTGCAGGGCGACGACCAGGGCGTGTGCCTGGAGGCCTGGATGCGCGTGTGCAGTGCATTGCGGCCTCTGACAGCCAAGGCCCAGCAGTTCAAGGTGGATATGTCAACTAGGGCGGCTGACATGGAGGTTCCCGAGGCAGAGGCCAAGACTTTGTCAGCGGTCCTGGAAGCCTCATGCGCGGAGAAATACATTGAGGTTCTCTCAGTGAAGCACGACTTCATGGCTGCGTGGTGATAATTTCACACAGATGCAAAAAACCTTGTCTCAGTGTTTTTCTGCAACGGGTATAGCTTAGGGCGACAAGTTTCCAGAAACAACCTTTTGCATTTTTTTTCGGTCCTCAAATTAATGCCCGCCTTGTATTTAAGATGCACCCCCCCCACCCCCTATTGACAACCCAACTTAAAAAAGTGCCAACATATACTTGGGGATAATATTTATCACTCGGTGGGTTATTAGGGGGAGGAGATGATCTACCGGTCTACCTTTCCCAAGATCAGATGGCCTTTAGGCCGCCTCAAAAGCTTACATTCAGGTTTTGGGTTTAGGATGGTTTAGGATTCAGGGCCATGACCCTGGAGCACTGGTTCGTGTGATTTGGGGCTCAGGGCTTAGGCGGGGAATAGTTGAGTTTGGTATAAATGCAAGGGTTTGACAAGAAAGTGTGCGCACACCGAAACAAGCATGGAAACTGCGAACGGCCACCTTGTACACTTCCCCCAGGTTAAGCGTTGTGGAATCTAGGCTCTGACGGCCACTACAACGAACAAAGCAGCAGCCACCAGCAAAAGCAACAACATGAAAAATGATGGAAAATGCGGAAAATCATGCAAGATCATGAAACTCATGCAGGAATGCTAAAAAATCATGATAACCACATGTCCGTACCACATGGTTATGTCCCAAAACTGGATCCCACCCGTAATGAATGCATCACTCTGGGGATAGCAGGGGAGGCCCTAGCTTGAGGTCATGGGAAGGCCTGGGGGCCAGCCGTGGCCGCGTTGATCCCCAGGATCGTCTGCAAGCAACACAGCCGCAAGCTTGGGTTTAGATTTTGGGGTTTAAGGTTTGGTTGTGTGGGGGGTGGAGGTGGATGTGAGGCAGTAGATGCACAAGATACTTCTGGAAGCCATGCAAGCATGACTGCGCCGCTAGATTTGGGTTGCAACTGGATGGAAGCATTAGTCAAGGGTCGTCATGCTCCTCTGACTTAGAGATCTTTCCGCTAGCCCGCCGCAGAAGCTTCATAAACTCCTAGACTATGTAATTAAAGCCCGGATCCCAAGGGACGTTTACCTCTGACAGATCGTTGAACATTGCCAGGAGTCTACCTGAAGGGAATCAGCACTACACGCTGATGATTTGGCGGAAGTTTACTGGCTGGACATGGGTAGACTATTTAGCTGGCCAAAGCTGTGGGGGGCATAATGGAGTTCTTAATGCAGCCCACGGCTTAGGGATAAGAACCCTTTCTGGACTTGTCCGAAAGAGTAAATACTCGGGCCTCTTCGTCGTCGACGTCCATAGATGCTGTTACCCAAAAGGCCTAGCCACGATGCATGGCTTGTCCTCTCTGCGTCGTCGATGTCCATGAGGTTCTAGTAGGCCGAGTCGACTGACAGATCTGCGAAGGCCTACCGTAGTGGTCCCCCACAGGGTATCATGTGGTATCCTGCATCCACGTGGAACCTCTCAAATCCTCTGCTTTGTGCCGAGCTCTGCAAGTGTGTGACGGCACTGCAGCTACATATGGGTAATGCATGGCTTGTCCTCTTTAAAATGGCAAACCCTATTAGTGTGGGGTTCCCTAATTGTG